AAGTACAAAATTCACGCATATTAACATGACGCACATTAAGTACAAATCTCAGGCACATTGAGTACAAATCTCACGCACATTAAGTATAAACCTCACACACATTAATCATCCGCACAACTGCACGGGAAGCCACAAAAGCACCTGATCCCTTCCCTATATATATATATATATATATATATATATATATATATATATATATATATATATATATATATATATATATATATATACACACACACACACTTAAGTTAAGCAACTTAACACAATTCAATTGTTATATCGTGCATCAGGGCGCACAATGTCCGTCCTGTCCAAAACGACGTCGTTTTGTTAAGATGTATGGAGAGTTGACGCGACGGAGTTTATGTGTATTCTATTATACAACTATGTACATTCTATTATATAATTATGTACATTCTATTATACAATTATGTACATTCGAAACATGAGATTTTTGTTTAAGAGTTAAGAGTTTTTGTATTATCCTTTCAAAAAAGATTATGTGTATTATGTTAGGGGTTTATGTACATTCGGTTATACAATTATGTACATTCTATTATACAATTATGTACATTCGAAACATGAGATTTAAAAAAAAAAAAAAAAAAAAAAAAAAAAAAAAAAAAAAAAAAGTTAACAACAGACACGGGAAACGGAATTTCCAAAAAAAAAAAAAAAAAGAGTACAAAACGATGTCGTTTTGGGCCAGGGCGCCCTGGTGCACGATATAATTTGCCTACTTAACATATTGTATATCTTTAGTTAACAAATTATGTACCTATAAGTAAATTGAAAGCATATTTTGTACCTATAAATAAATTGAAGATATATAATATGTTTAATGTATGCACATAATTTATTAACAGTATGTACATAATATATTAACTGCAAGTACGTAATATGTTAATTATTGTAGTAGTCGTAATAGGTACATAATTTATTAACTACAGGTACATAATATGTTAATTGTAGTAAGTGCATAATATACTAACTACAGATAGATAATCTGAATGTCGTTTTATATCAAGATTCATAATGCAATGTGGACACCAGTATATGGTATAACAATTGTGAATACTATGTTCTCTCAACCAAAAGTGCTGCATTTTAACGCATAATAAAACTTTTATATATATAGTCCTATACACTCTATCCAATTGATATACCATGGACCATGGTACACCTTGCATTATGAATCTTAATCTAAAACAACGTTCAGATCATATACATGCAGTTAAAATATTATATATGTACAATTAGTTTATAAATTATATACCAACTACAATTAATATGTAATTAACATATTATGTATCTGTAATTAACATATTATATTATATACATACAGGTAACATATTATATATCTGCAATTAATAAATTATGTACCTAAACTACTAATATAGTTAATATATTACATACTTACATTTAACATATTATGTACTTGTAGTTAATAAATAATTTATATGCAGCTAATATACTATGTACCAACGATTTATTTATAGGTACATAATCTATTAATTGAAGGTACCTATTATATCGAAATGTGGACCCTGGTCTATGGTAAAACTTAGGGATGTCAATCTAAACTGAAAACAGATGGTTTGACTTGACAAAATTAAAAAATTTTTAGGGTTAGGATCGAAATATTTTAGCCTTAAAAAAAATCAAGTCAGTAAGACGCCCAAACGGGCTAGTCTGCCATTTAGTGGGCTTTGTCATAAAAGTTATGTGGAATATATATATATATATATATATATATATATATATATATATATAAAGTTTATAGGCCAGGTAAGCTCAATTTAAACTAATTTGACACAATTCATGGCATCTTGAGCCGTTCTAAACACAATTTAAACTGATTTGATCACAATTTAGTCTTCAATTGATCCTCAAAAATATTTGCAATTGACAATTATCATAATTTTCACACTTTAAACCTTGCTTGTTCCCAAGCAAGCGAAAGAATGGCTAGGAAAACATAAGTGTCAATGCCTAAAACACAAGCAACCATTATCCCTCAATAGTCAAGAAAACATTCCATGTATAGGGAGTCAAAGGGATGTCGTTCTCACCTTTACCTTGTGAGTGAGGCGGAGTAGGTATTAACAAGCTCTCTTAGAACCAAGCTTAAAGGAGCTCTTTACCTTGTGAGTGAGGCGGAGTAGGTATTAACAAGCTCTCTTAGAACCAAACTTAAAAGGAGAAGCTCTTGGGATTCACTCATAGTTTTCCCAATGGTCACCTCTCCAACGTGCAATATAACAAGCAAAATGGCATTCAATTCACAAGGCTTTCCAAAGTCGGGACCAAGAAATGGAAGGCATGCACACAAGTCCACCGGGTTTTTCCTCAATCAGCCCTAAAGACTTAATTAGGTAAAATGATGGTACGAAATAAGCCGCTCCTCGCATTTTGACTTAGCGAGACCTCTCTTTTTTTCTCACCCCTAGAACACCAACTTTGAACAACTATCGGAACACAAAGCCATGTATCCTCCATATATCTTTCGTGCACTTTTTGTGAAGGACACGATAGTTGTTCGGTTCCTACAAGGTGGCCTCACCCCTTCTTTTCCCTCTCAATTTAAGGATATGATGTCTTAGTCTTTTTTTAGCTTTTTAAAATTGACTCTTACACATCCTTACATGACTCCTGTCTTTTACAGTTTTACAAGGGAGAAGAGGGTTTACACAATCTCTCCTTTTGCCTCATGTCATACCAAAAAATATTCAATTTCGGGTCATGCCACCTTACTTTCACAGTCCATACTTGTGTACAATCTCCATTCAAAGGTACAAACCAAAGCCAAAATGAATTGAATCATACAAGCACACAATGCAAACTAGAAAGCTTGTCAACAAATACTCCATCCATAACATGCACAAACTGGAGGTAAAAACAATACACAATTGAATCCGAATGCACACACATTTTTACACAATTATTGAAGAATTATGCAAACAAGAGATTTAGCATAAATCAGAAAGTGCACCCTTTCCACAATTTAGAAAAGAACATCATCCCGGTGTTCAAGAATTCAAGAAAAAACAATGCACAAAGGAAATGATAACACTAATAGGATCAATGGTATGCCACAAACCCCGTTTCCACACTTTCGAATTGGAAATCGGGTCGTGCAACAAAAGGATAAAAGTTTGGGGGAAATATGAAAGAGCTGAGCAGGGAGAGATGAGGGTAAAGTGATGGGGATGAAAAGGTTGTAGAAACTCCCTTAAAAGGTATATTAATGTAGGCCACAATGACCACAACAAGTTCAATCCCGAACGCTCACCACTAGTACTCCATGTCAAGCGATTTGCATAACAACCAATCCAAGGGCTAGTAAAGTACAAGATAGCACACAAGAAATATGGGAAATCCAAAACCATAAATGGAGAGTGTTTGGACACATCAACATTAAATGTAAACTAAAATAAGTACCAAAATTAAAATGAAAACATGCAAATGAAAAATCACACCAATTTTCTCCACCCATACAAACCAATGCAATCCAAAAGAACACTTATGCCAACACCCTAACTAGAGTCCTAACACTACTGAGTGATTATTGCTCTGGCGGTGGTTGAGGTGGGTGCATGTTCATGTAATCCTGTCGGAGGGTCTCAATATGCTCCTCCATTCGTCTTTCTTTATCTTGGATGACTTGCATCACCCCCAAATGCAGTTGGTAATGGAAGGCCTACATATAACCCCAATTCATAATCGAGGTGTGGTAATGCAGGGGGTGGTGGAATCTCCCCATCTCCCTCATCGGCTGGATGATTGATAAGTGCCAACGATGCTACCTTTTACGGGTCATTTAGGGGTTGTGTTGTGTTTAAATAGAATCCTTTGTGGTTGATTTATGATGGAAATGCTTTGATATGTGCTAATGTGTTGCAAAACCCTATACATATGTACACTTTAGTGTTTTGAAGGTTCTTGAGCTTAAAGGAGGGCATATGGACTTGAACGGAGCAACCAAAGAGGAGTGCAAATGGAGGAATCTCCGCAGACCCTGTCACGAGCGAGTCACGCTCGTGATCAGCTTCGTGACACGGGGCGCTGAGTGGAATTTCATATTTAAATAAAGCCTTGGCGGGATTTCATCGACTGCCTAGGACCCAATACGCTCGAGGAGTCCTATTGATGTTGATGCCGAATTGGCTCAACAAATGGCCAATGAAGACTTAACTGAGGCCATCAATACTGGTGTGGAAAGTGAGTTCCTAACAGACTAGGATCTGCTAACCGAGCTGATTAGAGTAACAACCTAGCAGAAGTGGCGCATGTCGAATTTGGACATCATCGAGGAAGGTATCACTTGCATGCAACCCGAGGAGAACTTTTCCCTTAGATGGTTGGGCACCTCCTTCATTCCTCTCGTCACACAAATCAACGAGATACATCGAGTTTACGCTCAGAAGTTGGCCGAGAAGGAAGCTGCTAAGGGCAAGAAGAAGGTGGTAGAAAACGAGGTTGAAACCCCTTCTACTCAACCCAAGTCTTTTTCGAAGGAGATGAGGATGGCCCAGGCCCTCTCTCGCTTCGAATCCGAGTTTGTTGAACCACTATAAAAATCTCTCTCTCACTCTATTTATTATTTATTGTTTTACACTGCATAAACCAAACCTAAGAATTTGACAAGCAAAACCTAACGTGCAAAAGAGTTTCATAAAATGGTTAACAAATTATTTTTCTGATGCATACATACTCTGACTGAGTAATTAAAGTTACTTCTCGGGTAGTCTTAACCATTCGCGATAGTTTCCAAAAACCCTATAAGTCTATTCGCCCCCTCTAGCTAGACTTGTATCTAACCTTCACCGGGACCAACAAAAAATATAAGTAACATAAGTATTATGAGAAAAATATAATATTTTTAAATCAAAATTTAATATTTAGTCATTGATTATATTTTTAAAATTTTTGTCAACATAATTTTCTTGATTTCACACTCAACGTCAAAGGGTTGCCAAATGCCCAAATGCCAACTATCCTCTCAACTTTCCCAATCCATTTGAGTTTGACCCGTCGCCACCAACTGGCCGCAGCTTCTCTTTGCCTCCAATGGAGAGTGGAGACCCCACCCACCCTCTTCAATCTCATAGCCCCTCCATAAAAGCTCAACTTTTCTTTTCTTCTTTCTTTTTCTCGATCTCCTCTTTCCCTAAACCCTAATAATCTCCAGCGACAAAGTTCATAAAGTGAAAAAGACTCAGCATATCTGGAAAAAGAAACAACCCAATTCATCTCGATTCCTTGTGTATTCAAGCTTGTGGTCCAAGAAAAGAAAGACAACAAAGAGATAAGCGAGCTTTACATAATATTTAGGTACTTCTATGTTGGTTTCATATGTGATGATGTTAGCTGTTTTCTATGTTGAAATTTGAACATCTCGTATGTATAGTATTTGCTGCTTTTTCAGATTCTTAGTTTTCAAACTTTGCATAACTATCACCATCTCTTTGCAGATTTTAGCATGCTTCTTTAGACTTTTTTACACTCTTTTTTGTTCACTTTTCTATTTTAATGTTTTTTTTTTTTTAGCTATGGTTTCCGGTAGCCTTGATCTGCAGTCATCGAGCGGTGGGGAGGAAGAGTATGATTCACGCGGAGAGACTTTTTTGAGGCATTTAGATTTGGTCTCGCCATCATCATCATCAACTTCACAACAAGGACAGTTTTTGTCCCACTCGGGTTTATTGTTTGATCATAACTTTCACCAATCACTAGCGTTAACACCTCTCAATTCCCAATACAATAATGATAATAATGCTCTTGTTTGGCCTCTGGGGGGGATGGGTTTAAGATCCCAACCCAATAATTATGGTAGCTTAAGTTCTCATCAAGATCAGCCTCTCTTGGAAGTGGAGACTACAAATGTTGTTGTGGGTCGATCAACTCATTCTCTGCCGTCCGATCAGCCACCGCCTAAGAACCCCAAGAAACGGACCAGGGCTTCCAGGAGAGCACCCACCACGGTCCTCACCACCGACACCACCAACTTCCGGCAAATGGTTCAAGAATTCACCGGCATACCGGCCGATCCGTTCTCCGGCGGCAGGCGGTGGGTCGCTTTATTCTCGCCGCCTCGATCTCTTCTCCACCGCCGGCTCCTCCACTCTAGGAGCCTTTCACCACCACCCCTCAGCACTGAGAGTCCATGATTTATCCCTCCACAAACTGTCGGGCGGGATTGACGATTCCCGTTTTTGTCACAAGAAAGTGGAAATGTCATCCTTCATTCCCTCCTCTTCCAACACAAATTTTCAACTCACAAAGCAACAAAGTAGTGCATTTTTCAACACGGAAGACCAGATCCTCACATTCCAGCCTCTCCTACAATCCTCACTCAAGAACCCATTGGGGAATCATGAACCTAACGAACCGGTTTTCGGGTCGAAATCTCGAGGAAGTAACACTCACCTTTCAGCCATTGATGGCTTGGGGATAAGCCATGAACAAGCAACTGCAAGCCTCAGTGGGTTTCTAGGTCAAGGAAGTGCTAATAATTCTGATCAAGCAAGAAACTGTTCAACTTCTTCTGCTTTGGAATTGCATCCTCATGATAAGGGTTTGGAGAATGGTGTTTGCACCGGAGATGCTGGTTCTAGTTGGCCATGTCCTAATTAACGTTTCTATTACAAGTAATTACTGGTTAGGTTTCATTCATATATACAATTATCATTGACACCTAGTTTTTATTCAATATCTAATGGTGTTTATGCTAGAAAATTTAGAGCATTGCATGTTTAGTTGGATGGAAAAAGTTTTTTTAAAGAAGTCAAATTTTTAAAATTTGAGAAAAATGTTATTTTTATTGTTTGCTTCAAAGGAAATAGAATTCTTCACACTTGAGGAAAAAAATTTCTTTACTGGTATTTTGTTTTCTATGGAAAAAAGTTTCTTTGCTCACTTGGTAAGATAATTTTGTGATTATAGAACTTTCTTATTATTATTATTATTATTATTATTATTATTATTATTATTATTATTATTATTATTATTATTATTATTGTGTAGCTAGGCATATTAGTCTTTATATTCATTATTCCTTAGCATTTCAAATCCAACAAAACAAAGAAATCAATCTTCCTAATAATTTCTTTTTTTGTAAAATTTTAATTTTATTCCTATTAATTAAAATATATTTTGTGAACCAAACGGGCTGTTAGTTGACATATCACTCCTCGTTATTGAATGTTAATTAGTTTTGTCTTATGAGCTATATCTAGAAATTAAAATAAACATGTTACTATAGGCTTTGTGATCGAGCGGCATAATCGTGATCCCTCAAATGAGAGGTCTCAAGTTTGAACATATTACATTCTGATAGAGTCAATAGCATTAAAAAAAAAAAACAAAAAAAAAAACAAAAAAACATTACACTTTTAATAAATTCCTGGTGCACATAACCAAAATACTTAGTCAACAAAGATCCAAAATCTTGGCACAAGCTAGGACTTTGATCAAAGGTATGGCGAAGGAGTGCTCATGTATATTATAGACCTCATTCTACTAATCTATACTCTATGATGATTAAAAATCTTAATGATAGATTCGACATTTAATTTCATTGTTGATTTCATCTTTTTATTCTTAATTTTATATGTTCACAGTAATAATTCGTTGTAAATTTCTACTATTATCATCCTTTTATCTTAATTATATTCTTTATTTTGGAAATATGTACATCATCGATCATTATAGATAATGGTGGGGAATATGGAATTATATGTAAAGATTTCTGTAGTTTCAGAAAGTCAAAAAATTAAATTAAATTTGGTGAAATTAACAATTCAGGAACAAAAGTATAAATATTATTATAGTTTTTTTTTTTTTTTTTTGAAAGGAGCCTGTACGGCATTTATTGAAAATATGCAGAAATAGATGCTGGCGGATCATAATCCGAGTACATACTAGTTGTCTGAGTAAAAGCAGTAGATGCTAAAGTATGAGCTAAATAATTATCTAGTCTAGGAACATACTGAAGTAAACAATAATCAAAAGACGACATAATAGTCCTGCAACTATCAACGGCATATCCCAAGTACGATCTTGACGAGTGCGTCGTAGATGATAGGTATTGTTGTAGTACCAAACAATCCGTGAAGAGGTCGATAGATTGTATTCCGCGGTTTCTTAGCCACGACAAAACTTCCTTGCATGCATTGGCTTCCGCCATTAGTGGTGAGAAACAATTTATCATTGGGGCAGTCATAGCCGAAATATAATGTCCTTGCCAATTTAGAATAATAGCTCCTACCGCTGCTTTGTTCGTGTGTGGGTCGTATGCCGCATCGAAGTAACATTGATTCCTCATATGTGATGTGGGCTGGGAGTCCATAATCGGCGCTGGCAGCTCTGCAGTAATAACGCGATTTGCCGTGGGGTTCGGCGTAGCTACGTGGCTGTCGACCACGGTGGCAGTCCGGTTGGACGATGCTGCCCCAGTGGCAGTCCGGCTGGGTGCCGCTGAGGAAGTGGCCAGTACTCGCAGTCCAGGATGGGCTTGTTTCCAAGAATTCACAGCTGATGATGCCATTGCAATTATTTTCTGAGGCCTGGGTAAGACTGCCTCCCATACAGCCCCATTCCTTGCTCGCCAAATATAGTATAAGAGTGCCACTGCATAAATAATTCCATCATTATCTAAAGTATTCATCAAATCATTAAACCAATCACTGAAAATATTTGTGACACTATTTGGGATTGGAAGGTGGGATTGTGCCCAAATGTTTGTCGAATAATCACATGTGATCAACGAATGCACAATATCTTCATGCCCAATTCCACACATGGCACATGTTGGATCAATATCAACTCTCTTTATAAGTAAATTCTTCGTAGTGGGCAAAATATCATGTAAAGCTCTCCACAGAAATGTTTTCCACCTTGGGGGGCTTTAAGCTTCCATAATACTTTCCATTTATCAAAGGTCCCAACCGTTTGGGTGTAGTTACCCACGATTGTTCTATAACCATTTTTCACCGAATATTCACCTTTTGGGTCCCCATACCAATACCACAAATCCTCATAATCTGGTGACACAGGTATTTTTAGAACTTGCTCTACATCCCCAGGATCCAAAATATCAGCTAGTATCTCTTGGTCCCAGGTACCTGTCTGTTGGTCCATCAGTCCCATCACCTTTGCCTGTGCCAATTGGGGTGGTTTTTCTGTTACAATTTTCGGGTGACTCATATCCTGTAACCATGGGTGTTCCCAAATCAAAGTTGATTTGCCATTCCCAATCCTGCGCCTAACCCCTCCACAAATTAAATCCTGTGCTGCCAAAATACTTCGCCAACAAAAACTTGGGTTATTCCCCAAGCATGCTTCATAGAAAGAATTGGTGGGATAGTACCTGGCCTTATATACTCTTGAGACCAACGAATGAGGCTGTGTCAGAAAGCGCCACGCTTGCTTGCCCAACATTGCAAGGTTAAAGGCACGTAGCTCTTTGAACCCCAATCCTCCATATTCCTTTGGGATACACAGTTTATCCCAAGCTTTCCAATGAATACCCTGGTCATCTCTCGCTCTCCACCAGTATCGATTCATGGTTCGTTCAATGGCAGTACACAGAGTCATAGGGAGTAGAAAAACGCTCATTGAAAAGGTAGGCATAGACTGAGCCACACTTTTCAATAAAACTTCCTTTCCTGCCTGTGACAAAAGTTTCTTATTCCACGAGTTAATCCTCTGCCTTATCTTATCTTCAATATATGAAAATGCCACCTTTCTATTCCTGCCCACAAATGATGGAAGCCCCAAGTATTTTCCAAAATTCTGAGCCTGCACTATTCCCAACATATCAGCAATCTCCTCTCTTATTTCAGCACGAGTATTCTTGCTATAACAAATGTTTGATTTGTGATAGTTAACTGCCTGGCCAGACATTTTTTCATATTCCGACAAACACCGTTTTACCACACCGGCCTCTTGAGTATTTTCTTTGAAAAAAAGCAGACTATCATCAGCAAAGAATAGATGAGTAATTGAGGGAGCTCCTCTTGCCACTCTACATCCATGTATCTCCCCTTTTGCCTGTGCCTGTTGTAATAATATTGAAAGTCCCTCAGCGCAAATAATAAACAAATAAGGTGAGAGGGGATCACCTTGCCTTAAACCACGAGTCGGGGTTATTTCATCAGTCTTCGAACCATTTACCATTACACTGTAAGATACAGTGGTTACACACATCATCAGTAACTCTATCCATCTTTCATCAAATCTCAGTGCCCTTAGCATCCTTTCCAAAAAAGCCCATTCCATACGGTCATAAGCTTTCGCCATATCTAGCTTTAAAGCTCCCCAACCTGTTAGCCCACACTGCTTCCTGTTCAAAAAATGGCTAACTTCCGCAGCTATCAAGATATTATCTGTAATTAGTCTTCCAGATATAAATGCACTCTGGGATTCTGATATAATACTCTCCATTAATGGTTTCATCCTGGCTGTAATTACCTTTGCCATAACTCTGTAAACGACATTACTCAAAGCAATTGGTCTATAATCAGAAACCATTTCCGGGGTTTTCTTCTTGGGAATCAAGATAATATTCGTTTCATTTAACTTATCAGGCATTGAGCAAGTATTCAAACAATTCAGAATATAAGAGGAAACATCAGTACCCACTACATCCCAAAAGTGCTGATAAAAACCAGGGTTCATACCATCCGGCCCTGGTGCTTTAACAGGATACATCGAAAACAATGCAATTTTAATCTCCTTTTCCTCAAAGGGGCGCAGTAAACTCTCATTCTGTATGCCTGTCACACGTGAGTGTATACTCCCAAAGAACTCATCATCAATAGCAGGAGTACTCGAGTTAAAAATTCCACGATAATAATCCATGATTACATTTGTCATGGCATCCCCCTCAATCCAATCCCCATCAGTATTCATAATTTTAGTAATAGCATTCTTTTTCTTTCGATGAGAAGCATACCTGTGATAAAATCTGGTGTTTGAATCCGCATCCTTGAGCCAATGCTGTTTGGCCCTCTGCCTCCAGTACGTATCCTCTTGTAGCTCAACATGCGCCAAACATTCATCTAGTCTCCGAAATTCAGCTAGGGATGTTGAATCTGTACATCCCCTTAGGCGCATTTGTTCCTTTCGTAATTTCATTATTTTTTCGCCAAACTTATGGAATCGGTCTCCACCCCAGCGTGTTAACCGATCACCACATAGAGCAACACACTCCTGCAACCCCCTGACTCTTCCCTCGCCCCATGATTTCTCCACCACCTCCCTACACCCCTCATCATGTAGCCATGCCATCTCAAAACGAAAACCCTTTCTTCGAACACCCGTCCTTCCCCGAAGATTGAGAATCCCAAGGAAAAGGAAGGAATGATCTGATTTTCGGGTTAATATATTCTGTACATTTGCATCAATCACCAAGTCTCTCTAGGTTTGAGTAGCCAAAACCTTATCTAGTCTTTCCTCTATCCAGTTCGGTGTGCCTTTACCTTTTTCCCAAGTGTAGGGATATCCAGACATTGGCAACTGCGTCAAACCACACTCTTCAATTGTTTCTCCAAACCCCCGTAGCAAACTGTCTGGATGGGGATTTCCTCCCCATTTCTCATACTGATATAAGAGATCGTTAAAATCTCCAATAATCACCCATGGCAGATCCGATCTACTAGCCAACGATCGAATAAGGTCCCACGACTCCCTTCTCTGCGGACGCTTCGAGAAGCCATAAAACCCAGTCATCCTCC